TTAAGAAACCACTTTAAGAGAAAGGCTAGGCTGGCTAAGCATCAAGCTAGCCAATCAGACGGGCCACTCCCCAAAACAAAAGGGCTGATAGAAAGAGCTTTATTGATGGGGTGGTGAAGAGGCGAAGATGCCCCCCATACCAGAGTCCAGTCACCTTCACGCACTTTGCATAAGACTAAAGTCGCGGACAAAAGAGGCCAAAAATAGATTGCAAAAAAAAATAAAAAAGAAGGTATAGATATATATTGAAATCGGCAAAGAAATGTTAATCCAATTTTCTATGAAATATATCAGGCTCAGTGGAAAACAATAACTTGGCCCTTTCGGGATGATATAATCCCACAAAAAAAGCTAACAAAACCGTCTGCGAATGTGGCGATTTTGACAGAAATAAACCCGCAAATAGACGGAAAGAAAAAGGGGCGTTGCAATGCCGATTACGTTGGGTTAAAGGGACAGACAGCAGCAGGCAGGTTGTTAATCGTAACGAATTCGATTTATTTGTTGTTTGTTTTTTTTGTTTTTCTATAAATTCTACCGTCTGGTGGATAGTAGATGGTGACAAATGTCAACGAACAGCGAAACGAAGCGAACAAAAGGTTCGATCAAGATTTCAAATTGTCTATTGTTGCCACAAATCGTTGGGGTGACAATGGGCCAGAAGAAGTAGCCCCCAAAGTAGCCAAAAAGATCCGAATAGCTGCTGCTGCTGCTGCTGCTGCTGAGGAAGATGCCCAACGAACGGTACTTTCCACAAAACCCGTCCCGCCCTCCACATTATTATATTTTTTTTTTACTTGTTTTTTTTTTAGATTTTTTTTTCTGATGGCCATTCTTTTACTCTCGCTCGTGGTTCCATTAATAGTCAAAGTTCATGTGTCAGGGGCGTCGGAAAACGAAATCGATTGGCGGTCAAAGATCTTCGTTAATCGACAGGGAAACCTGCTTGTGATTAACAATCTTTATTGTATGTTGGGAAAATATTCTAGAAAATGGAAGATGGATTCTATATTTATCTATATTTTCTAAAAAAAAAAAATATTTAGAAATAACTTTTTCTAGAATTTTAAATTTTAACCTCATCCACTCTGTAAATAATCAAAAAAAATCAAGAAAAAACCTTAAATTATTATAAAGTTACATATTCTCTTCAAAGCACATTCTCCATTAGCCAGTCCTCACTGTCCAAATTTGTTTATCTCAATACGAGAGCTCTTTAGGGCTCTTTGACAAACTTTATTTATGTTTTTCTTCACGCTTGACCGTTAAGTTAACTGCACATTCGCTTTGTTTGGCTTATTGGCTGCTTATTGTTTTAACGCCATGATCTCTGCTCTCTGATCTCTTGGCCCATGATTGGTTTTCCTTCGTCACCATCAAAGAGAATGTTTTAATTATTTACCAAACTCCAAAGTCCAAAACCAAACGCTAGAAAAAAAGGAACCACCATCGGCTCTTATCCACTGATTAATGCCACTTCTTTCAAATGGTGGCCCTCTCTAAATTTAGATATCTTTCTCTCTCTCTCTCTCTTTTTCTTGATTTGCCACGCCCATCGATCTCCTTCTGTTCAATTTGAAATCCGTGTTAAAGGTGTCGTCGCTAACGCCCAAAAATGAATAAATAATATTCTATTAGTTAGCCGACTGCCTAATGGCTGTCACTAAATAGGCGTGTCCTAATCGTCAAAGAATACCACAGTAATTGCCGGCGGCGGCTAATTTGTTTGAGCGGCACGTGTGGGAAGATTTAACAATATAATAAAAAGATATAGAAATATATTCAGAAATCCATAGAAAGATATGCTAAATGTTTCTATTTTTAGAATTTAAAAAGAAAATTCAAAATTAAACATCTAATTATGTCACTTTAAGCTTCTTAATAAGAGTTAAACAATATTTATTTAACTCATTTAATTAAGTACGCCACTAAAAAACAAGAAAACTCATATAAACAGGAGATCTAAATATGGTATTAAGAGAAAAAATTCGCTTAAGGAAAGCATTAGGGAAATCAATGGCTAAATAGAAATAGAAATAATAATGAGCCATACACTCACATTCCCAATCAATGTTGTGTGGAAACTCATTTGTGGGGAATCTCTAGCTTGGTTAGTCAATGGTCAATGCCTGTCCAATAGCCGGTCACAATCTTCCCAAAGCCCCCGGAGATGATGTCGTCTCCGTCTATGGTGACTTCTGTTTTCTGTTCTGCCTGATTTGTTCTGAAAAAACAAAAAAAAAAAAAAAAAATACTACACCCGTCTATGGGAGTTTTTCTACATCATTCTCCCTCCCCTGTCCATCCTGTCGCCCCTCGCAGGTGTGCTGCTAAAATAGTTGACTAATTAATTTATAATGCAATTTCACTGCAATCGAAGCATGGTGGATGCTGGTGGTGGAGAGGAAAGAGGGGGCAGCAAGGAGGAGGATGATCGCTACCATTTGCAACATGAAAACCGTTTTAATACACACCACAACTAGCACCACTAGCACCACCAGAACCACCAGCAGCCGCCTAATCATTGTTTATGACAGTGGCTAACCACTGGTCAGCCATTCGGCTGCACAGCAAAAATTAAAGACCATTCCATTATATTAGCATAATTTATGATCTTCTTTTATATAATAATAAGTTTTTTTTTTAATTTTTAGATATTTTTTTAATGATAAAATCCTCATAAAACAGGCAAAAATTAATTTATTTTGATTTGGTTTGAATTTTTGGTAATGTTTTTTAGCCCTACTAAAAATTGCATTTAAGGTTTTGGCAATTTCTAAAAATATTTTTTTTCATTTTTTTGAAAATTCTGTAAGGGGTACCCCTTAAAAAAAATGAAAAAATTTTTTAAAATTTTTTTTTCGATTTTTTTGAAATTTTTTAAAAGAAATTGAATTTTATTTTTATTACAAGCATAAAACTACCAAAAGTTTTCATTTCCGATGATTTTCAGCGGAGTTATAACAATTTTAGTGAAAAAATGTTTGTTAATTTCGTTAAAAAAAAATTCTTAATGATGAAAGAAAAAAATTCTTCGAAATTTTGAACATTTTTAAACGGTAGAATCGCTATAAAACAGTCCAAAATGATTATATTTTCATATGGATTGCATTTTTGTAAGTCTTTTTTAACCCTTCTAAAAGTTGCATTCAAGGTTTTGCCAATTTCTAAAAATCTTTTTTTTTCATTTTTTTTGAAAATTCTGTAAGGGGTAATGAAAAAATTTTGAAAATTTTTTATTCGTTTTTTTTTTAAAGTTTTTAATAGAGTTTGGATATAATTTTTATTACGAGCATAAAACTACCAAAAGTTTTCATTTCCGATGATTTTCAGGGGAGTTACAACAATTTTATCGAAAAAAATTATGAATTTTCTAGCGTTTTTTCCAACATATTCTTCTTCTTTCATGCAACTAATCATTTCAAATTAAAATAATATTAGCACTTTCAACCATAAGTTCTTTAAAGAAGCAGCAAGTCCAAGAAATCATGAATAAACAAGAAAAAAAAACATATTCAAATTCTTTACCGTGTGGAGGATGAAGTCAGGTCTCAGTCAGGTCTCTGCAGTCTTTCTCTGTAGAATCTCAGGTTGTGTGGTCCCCCCACCATCCCCTTAGCCAGCCTCTTCCCCCTTTTGCAAGGGAAATTTATGCAAATGGCTGGACAAATCTTTCCGAAGCTTTTGCGCAATTATCCCCGTAAAGCAAGCAGAGAGAATGCGATGCGAGGAGGACCCAAGGGGGGAAAGACCTCACCTGCTGCAGCAGCATTTTGGCATTTGATTGAACTCAAGTGTGCCAGATGCGTAATGAGTTGATGGGGCAAGGGATTCAATGGGCGGTTAAAAGGAGGCAAACGGAGAAAGGGGCGGGGCATGCAGAACACGTGACAACTGCGGGGTTTGGTCAATAGAAATTGAAAATCAATCGGAAATTCCTATGAATACCAGAAGAAAATTCAAAACAACCGAAACCACAGCAAGTAGAAGAAAAACCACTTGCATGTGGGTGAAACAAATTTGTATGTCTTTTTTTTTTCGTGGCACACAGTGGGTGGAAGATTAAGTAAATAAATCGTGATATTAAATATAATTCTTATAAAAATTATAATTTTATGAAGAAAAGGTAAAAGCTTCTCAATGTTAAAGTAAAAAAAAATGTTAAAGAAAATATTTCCTAAACTTTATAAATCTTAAAATTTGAAACTTCCTACCACTGTACGGCCAACGGCATTTGTGCAACAAAACAACTGTTGCTGAAACCTCTGATTCTCCTTAACCCAGGCCAATGCCCAAAATGCAAATCGAAACAGAGCGATCGAACTGGAGTAGTCAATACATACATATAGAAGATATATATCTGATGGTAAACCACGCGCGTTGACAATTTGGTCGATGGTCGGCACCAAGGCTTTTCCTTGCAGTTGAGGGAAACCGCTAGATGCTAGACGCTTGACTACAAACGACCGGATGAATGGATATTAGAATTAGATTTTCGATGTCTACACACGAGTATATCGTTGATCGGCGATCTGCGAATTAGGTTTTGCAATGAGGATGGAAATTTGGCGAGTAACGCACGCCAGGCAGCCGCAGGTGACCCGATCTTTGGATCACGAGCTGCAACGTGATGTTTGGTAAATCGTTAAGGGGGAGATCATGGATCTATGTTATATATATATATAGAAAGTAGGGTGTAAAAAGAAGAAATAACAATAGTAATTACTTAGAATTTTAAGTAAGAAATTGGGGGAAGAGGTTTATTTCAAAAAGAACAGCTCAAAGAGGGCCAAAATTAGTTGCCATTCCTGAGAAGCGGAAGAGAAGTTAAGGCCGCGCCGTAAGGCTAAAATCCCTGGGAAACCAGAAGCCTGCCCTCCCATCGCCAATATAAACAAACAATGCGTTAATACAGTTTAATTTGTTTTGCCATAAAATAAATACTCAACAAGGGCCCTGCGGTTCCAAAAAGATGGCCAAGAGCAAGGCCAGCGATAAGATTTGCAATTTATATAGATTTATTATTTTTTGTTTTTTTGTTTAAAACTACTCTACCCCTTTGGCTTAACCGATCAATCTTTATGGCAGCTCGCATAAAAATTTACGACTCATCATCATCAACATGGTTTTTGAGCAGGAGTAGGAGCAGGAGCTGGCATAGCTTGAAAGAGCTGTAGAAGCAGAAAGAGCGGCCAGAAATATCCAGAAATAATGGCACGATGGCCCCGACTATCACCGAAAGTATAATGGATAACGCCTCGTCTGGTGCGTAGGACTTCGTCCAGATGCCTCCTGTCCATATCGTTCTCCCTGAGGCATTCCTGCATCAAATCATCCGGCAGCTGTATATGAAATGGAAAGCAATACATATGAGCCACATCCAGTTTGATGGTCTCATTGTTATTATCGTCCAAACAAAAGAACGTATTTAAATCGGCCAACTGCAAGTGTGCACAATTCTGTAATGCCGAATCCTTCATTAGCACCATAACATGATCTAAAGTATTTGGCATATAGATACCAAATGGTTCGCCAGTCTTTACGAAAGAATCACGAAATTTCGTAAAGGCCATCAGTGGATAGGTGCCACCGCATTTACGATCAAATGTCTGAACTTCTTCTAGCAAATATTTACATCGTTCGGGTACTTTATGCTTATAACGATCAGATTCCCTGCAATTGCTATCCATACAGATAGGAGCCTGGATGACCCTTAAAAGTAGTAGCAATAACCACAAGTGGTTTGGAATTGTATAGATCCCGGCCATCTGCCTGCTATATATGGGATATATAACCTAGTCTTCTTATGTGTGTCTTCAAATCCAATCTGTGCGTCAGTGTGTCTCGAAATCGATTCATTTCAAACTACAGCAAATACCTTAATAATTATATACTCTGAGTAGACAGCTGGCTAGCAGTTTACTGGGGTCGAGTGTGACTCACTTTCTGGGTCGTCGTGACTTGGGGGGATTCTGTGCCCTGAAAGTGATGGGTTCGATTAGTTTGTTGAGAGGGTTTGGTGTTTAAGCATTAGTTTATATAATCATTAAGATTATCTTTAAAAAACCATAAATATTTTTAACTATAATAATTATTTTGTATATTAAATATTTATTTATTTATTAATCTTCCAAGAACTTCTTAGTTCGCAGGACTTACTGGACCTTGACTTCAAGTTTCCTTTCTTGGATCTAAGAGAGCTGTTCTTCCTACTCTTGTAAAAGATTTTGTTAGTAAAGACAAGAAGAAAAAGGATTACGTACAGGTAAGTATAAACCCATGTATAAAAATCTGTAAATATATATAAAAAATTTATTAATTTTTAGAAAAACAAGTCCTTATCAAACGACAGACGTCTCTTCTCTCTTAAAAGATGTCACTAATAGATCACCTCCAATGGTATTATTAACAGGCTTCGATTTACGATCAAAGAGGAGTTCAGGTAAGTATAAAAAAGCATTAAAGCCTTTAGAAAGATATAAAATAAATTTCCTAATTTTTAGAAATTCAACTCCCTCTCCAAGCGACAGATGACTAATCCCTCTCAAAAGACGCCACTCATAGGATCACCTTCTATAGAATTATTCACTGTCGCTGATTTGCGATTAAAAAGGGTACAGGTAAGTATAAAGAAGCTTATAAACTGTAAAAATATTTAATAAATATCTTAATTTTTAGAAATCCAACTTCCTCTGCAAACGGCAGACGACTCTTCTCCCTCAAAAGAAGTCCCTCATAGGATCGCCTGCTACAGAACTATTCACTATCGCCGATTTTCGATCAAAAAAGGATACAGGTAAGTATAAAGAAACTTATAAACTATAAAAATGTTTAACAAATTTCTTAATTTTTAGAAATCCAACTCCCTTTTCAAACGGAAGACGTCTCTTCTCCCTCAAAATATACCACCCATAGATCACCTCCAATGGCATTATTCACAGGCGCCGAATTGCGATCAAAGAAGAGTTCAGGTAAGTATAAAAAAACTTATAAACGTTAAAAATATTTTTAAAAATGTCTTAATTTTTAGAAATCCAACTCCTTCTTCAAACGGAAGACTCTTCAAAATCTACACCACTCATAGATCACCTCCAATGGCATTATTCATACCGCACTGGCGCTGATTTGCTGTCGATTTAATTGATTTCAATTACGGGGCGGCATTATTTCAATTAGGTGAGTTAAGAAGAGGCTATCAGGAGGAGGGAGGTGATACAGAGGTGGGGAAAATTGACATGACACGTTGGGGTAGAGTCGTCGAGTTAAGTTGAGTTGAGTCGCTTTGAGCTATCATCGATAATTATGATGAGTGCTATCGGATCGATCGGTTCTGATTTGCCTGCCTTGACTGCCTGCCTGCCTGCCTGCATAGCATTGGGTGATTAATGCAACGGCAGTCTGCCAACTGTTTGGCTTCCTTCAATCGCCGATTGAATGATTGACTGATTGACTTTTCCGGAAGAAAACACTAGGCACTAGATTGTGATTGCATAATCCGTTTGAATATGCGGCACTAGCAGTGGGTTTTTATTCAATTTTCTTAGTTTTCTTTTAAGTCAGATTAAAAGTTAATTAATTGATAAGGAGAAGGAGAAGGATGATCTCACATTTCTAGACTCAAGAACTTATTATAGCTCCCTGACTTGTAATCTTTAATCATTGGTATATAAAGATGAAATTCCTATCATTTCTGTAATATTGTATTTTGATCTCAAGTCTTTAATCTTGAGATTTAAGAGGCCCCTCCCTCCCCTGTTCATCCAATCTTTTGCCTTATAATCGCTAAACAAAGTTGTTGAATTCTTTATTCGAGCTTTGATTTCGGTTCGGGTCTTCTTGGGTTTCTCAAAAGGGGTAGCCTCTTGTGTAGATCACTTCTTGATTTATCTGGCAAATCAATTTTATTCTCGCCTGGCTGCCCCGTTGAGTTTTGGTCCCCGTCTGTGTGTGTGATCTCTTGAAGAATCCATTTAATTATTAGATTTCTTGTCCGTACCGTACCCCCTGTCTATAAAGAGCTTTTAATTTAATATTGTATTAAAAAAAAAGAAGACGCTGATTTAACGGCATTTTGTCTGCCTGAATCGTTCGGCTTTATGTCTACAATATCTTTTCGATTTGTTTATATTTTTGTGATGGAAATATGAATTTATTGATTTTGTCATTAATGGGATTTCCTTTCAGCCCCAGCAGGTGGCAATTGTCATGCTGCCAGTGTTGTCAACATACGCTCATCTGATTTATGGTTTGGGTTCTTCTTCTCGCCGGCTTTTTTTTTCGATATATACTCGTATATATATATATATATACACATGATCGGAAGTTGGCACACCATTTGCGGCAAGTGCTGTGGTTCTCCATATTAATCGACGATGGTCTACGAAGTCTGATACTTCCGTTGCCCCCCCTGCTACTTCTTTTCGTTTCTTTTTTTTGGAATTGTGTCACAGAGAATTGGAGAATCGAAAATATATAGAATCGGAAGCAGAAAAAGAGGCATTCAATATGCGCACATTGTGCCAGATTTTTGATTTTGACTAGAGAGTATCAAGGGTTAGGATCAGACTTATATTTCTCTGTATAAGATGTAAGATATTAGTAGGAAGTTATAACTTATATATATGTATGATCCAATGTGCTAACAAAGATCATAGATATCTTTTCTTATCCTCACTTTGAAAGCTTAAGCTTAAGCTTAGGCGATAGTGAAAGAAAATGATGTCAGAAATGATCTCAACTTCAGCTTCGTGAAGAGGAAAGTCTCTAATCAGAAGTAGAGTCTTAAAAAAATCAATCAAAAAATGTTTAAAAAGTATCTTTTTTTGAAGTTAAACTTATAAGGCAACCTTTAGCAAAGTTCCAGGGTATCTTAAAAGTCTTGTCCCTATATTTTTCGCACTTTACCTTTTCCGCCTGCTTTTTTTTGCGCAGTTCGCAGTTTTCTTTAGTAGTTTAATTCAATTTGGGATTCCATCAGTTTATGGTTTATTGCACTTGATATTGCTCTTTGTTTTAGTTTTTACTTTGCCATAACCATATATATTGAAGGTATAGGATATATATATATATATATTTTCATGACGAAGGCGACCTTCCAAATTGCCAATGGATTGGGGTTCGTTGGCCACTTGGCTGCCGGCGATTTTTGTGTTAATTTATTTTTTGTTGTAAACTTTTTGGATTGTTTCGTTTTTCATTTGGTTTTTTGCTGTTATCGTTATTGTTGTTGTTGTTTTTCTTGTATTGATTGGTGGCTTTGGAGAACCGTTAAACTCTTGCCCCTTGCCTTGACACCTGACACTTGACACATGACACCTGAGAGAAGGCGACGACAGCGCATTGGCGATCTACACTAGAAAAAAAAAAAACTGCCCTGGGCGCCACGAAATTGGGCATTGGGTTTTTGGATATTGGGGAATGGGGATTCTTTCTTCATTAATCGCTCGCAATTAAGCGCCACTTTATTTCCAACTTCACACTTTGTTGGTCGTTTTTTTTTGTTTTTAATATTATTATTTATTTACTTTCGCAGCTCCCCTCTTTCTGTTTTTTCCTTTGGTTTTTTGGTTTTTGGTTTCGAATGCATTCAATCAGCGCAATTGATTGATGTCTCGCTGGCTAGTGTGTTGTTCGCTTGGCACGTGTCATGAGCTCTGTTTTTTCTGTCGTCAGGGTTTCACATTCCGAGCTGCGCGGGCTAACGGATATGGAAAACCTATTCAGAGGGGCATCTTCGAGTTGGCCAAGATTAATTAGCTCTGACCCTTTGGGGGGGGCAAAAGAAGTGGCAAAGAAAAGGCCTAGAAAAATTGGTTCAAAATCAGAGGGATTAAAAATGGGATTAATCAAAGGTGAAAATGGATGAAATTATGATTTTAAGCTGTAGTATTTGTGGTTTTTTTAAGTAAGTTAAGATTGGTTTGTGGTAAACACAAACCAAATCTTGCATCTTCCTTCAAATCCATCTCTTGATAACTTTTAATAAATCATAAAAAAAATCCATTAATTCCGGGAAAAGTAACATTAAAAGTAAAACCCACTCAAGTCGGCATAATTTAATTGAGAGAATCATTTTCAATTGCCGGAAGACGGATCCGATCTTTTTCACCACAGATGACTGACTTAACAGCAACCACCTATGGATCATGCTATATATATATATATATATATTTCTGTATCTGTATCTGAGCAAGGCGCACTTTAATCTGGTTCTGCGCACTGAGCGCATTAATTATGCGTTCCAAAGCGATGTCTGGAATATATATATATATATATCTGTAGAGTTAGGTGGATATGTTCTTTTTTGGTTTGCTGCTCATCTCTTTCTTCGGTATGAAATTCTTGGCACGAGTTGGTTAATTAATTTAATTAATGTTTTACCAAAGAGACGCCGGCGCTGGCGAAGCGTCGACTTTGACGCCGCCCCCTTTACAACTCCCCCCGTGTGCCTATCACTCTTTCCATGAATTTTCCACACCACTCTTCGCTGTTGATTCTAACGGTAGCACGAATATTAAATTTAACAACAACAACAACAACAACGAGAAAAAAATCAACTTAAATACCACACACACATGGAGGGCTATAAAAAGGCAGGCACTGAGAGGAAATATGGGGGACTTAAAGCTGTTTTAGGGGATAAATTTGGTTTTATAAATATTTAAAAAAATAATTAATTAATACAGTTTTTGATATTTAATGATAGATTAATATTAATAATAACTTAAAATGTCTTTTTTTTGGCTTTTTTTACACTAATTTTATATTTTTTACTCTAAAAACTATCTTTTTGGTTCTTTAATAACTTCAACTTAAAAAGATTTACTATAAAATCATTTTTAAATCTTACTTAAAAACAATTTCTCTTCGTGTACGAAGGAGGTGCATTAATTTTAGAGATGTAGATATATTCTTCTTTATGGGGGGAATGATCCCCCCTTGTTGGTTTGTCTCTTCTTTTTTTGTTTTCCACGCCACTTTTGATGCTCTACAAAAACGACCAAAGTTTTCATCAAAAATTATTCAAATTTCATTTCGTTTTCAATAATTCCAGCTCTTTTTCGGTTTTTATTTTCAATTAGAGGCCAGTTTTTATATCAACGACCGGCCATAAAGTTTCTTATCATTGGGCTGCTGCTGCCGCTGTTGCATTTCTAATGAAAATTTATGGAAACCCATCCCCCCCCACCTCTCCACCACCTTCTTCATTTTGATTTTTGGTTTGTCAGTCAATTTTTGTGGTTATTTTTGATTTTTCCCTCGTCGATGGCATTTTAAACTTGTCCAGCGATTCTTATCGGCAGTTAGGGGGAAGAAAGTTTCATCTTTCACGAGTTTCCCACTCGTAAAAATTGCAATTTGTTGTTTCGAAAATCGAGAAACCAAAAAAAAACCGAATAACCATAATATACCATTAAATTTTCTATGCTTCTGAAAATGAGATAAGAAAATTCTTTGACCCGAGAAGAGGGAAAAATTCCTAAGCATTACCAAGAATATTAAAGCTTTTAACTTTGAAAAAAAAAAAAAAAAATATAGAAAATTATGTTGCCTTCTTGGCCAACGAAAATTTATTAAAGTTTGATAGCTATTTTATCTAGCCTTCTGCCATATTATTCCTTATCTGTCAAGACAGGGAAATTTTGCTGGTTTTCCTTGGCTTTTCGTTGATCTCCAGTCTCTGCTGTGTTATTCTTGTTCTTGTTCTTGTTGCACTTGTAATTGTTGTTGCTCCTGCTGCTGCTGCTGCTTCTTGTTCGCTGCCTCTTTCTCTTCTCTTCTCTTCTACATCGGCTGCACTTTTATTGATTTATGCGAATGCGGCGATCTTCAAAGGAAAATTCAAGGCATGACTGCAACTACTACAACGGCGACCACAACTACGATTACAATTTAGCCAACGACCGTGGGTTGGTTTTGCAATGTGGAAATGTGGAAGTGAAAATGCTTAACCAGGACGATGGTTCACAAAAAATGGCAGTGAAATGGAGTGGAAAAGCTATAAAGTTAACAGAAGGTTAGCTTAAAATATGATTTAAAAGAAGGACTTAAAGGATATTTTAATATGACAAACTACATCAATGGAAGTTAGAAACTACCAGAAAAACCTTGTCAAACATCAACTAATACTTAAGAAAAGGGATTACAACTTGAAAGAAAACCAAAACAAATTTAAAAGATTTCCCAAAAAGAGACCGAGACCTACCATCTTGGCCGCAACTGTAACTGCGCATAGTGGCCTGCGCGTACTGCGGCAATTGTAGAT